AATAGAAATTTAATATATATAATTCTCAAAAATTAAATTTAGAAACACGTGCAATCTGAATTCTGATCAAGAGAACGGACGGTGGAAAATGAATTAGATGATATCAAAAATGATCCTACCCGAATCCAGATAGTCCCAAATCAGTACTTAAAACATGGTTGAAAACTTTGAAATGTATTTTAGGGGACCAAATGATATCTAAATCTGATAAGTTTACAGTCAAATCTGGCATCTTGACGAGCTGAATCCAACGAGGCCACTATGACTTAGTCTTGAGATCGCTAAAGCACTTAAATGCCCATTAAACAACACCTAATCAAAGGGATTACCTGGGTCGTCTGATGAAGTGGTCCGGGTTCATGCAATATGTACAGAGCATGCCACCCAAACAATCTATAAATAGACACGCACTCTTCAAAAAAGGAGATCTAAACATGAAAGAGAAAGTTATTGTAGCTCTAAGCTCTAAGAGAAAGTTATTGTTTCCTGAGCTCTACCACTTCTAGACTATTGTCGACTAGTCCTGCCACAACCATAACATTGTTGTTGTTGCTCTGCCATTAAAATCGACGAGTCACTATCGTCGCCAGACTATCGTCGTTGATATTTTGCCACTGTCATCTAGTCATTGTTGAAACGCTGCCCCAATACCACCCCCGAACCGGCCAAATAGCCACTGCCACCATCAGACCACCTTCGCCACTGCTCGACCATCTTCATCGAGCCACCACCATAGTTGGACCACCGCTTTCTGTCCACCACGCCAAGCAACCATCTCTACCAGACCACCGTTGCTCAATCACCACTGTGTGACTTATACGACTGTTAGTCCATCATCACCTTCACCAAACCGCCACCACATTTGCCAAACCACCGAAGCCATCACCAAACCACCACCTTCTAATCGTCAATGATCATCAACATACTGCAATTGTCTAGCCTCCACTGTTACAGATGTCATACTACCACCGCTACTGCCAGATTACCACCACACCACCAACGGACCTTTGATGTCTGACCATCTCTGTTGTTGTCGCAATTGTTGATCATGGCATTACACTTTCTAGCACTTGACATATACCTTCGGTTTTTCTTCACAGTAGCCCGGTCATCTCCACTTCCTCTACATTTTATGTCACGTATCTAGTAAGAATCACATCTCACTCATTAATACTGCATTGGGTTATTCAAGGGTCGATAAAGCCTTGCAAGCTATAATGACTAAATGAAATCATTTTACTATGTCAAGCCCCGTGGTATTTGTCTTTTCTGATTATCCATGTAAAACTCGTGTTGTCTTATTGTCAATTTCTTTTTAATTGTGTGTGTTGAATATTTTTATAATACTAAGATGTTAACATATGACTCTACCGTCACAAATATACAAACACGCTATAATTATGTTGGAGTATTCGTAGACGATTATGATTTGTTTTCCAAATATGACTTTTCTTGAAACCAAAAGTTAAAAAAAGGCATGTAATGCATAAATACATTCTATATTGGTTAGAAATAGATTAAAGGATCAGAAGATAATGGATTTGAGTGCTCATCCTACCCGTGCAGACATCAAGGGGTCTCACAATTTCATTTCGATTAAAATTGTCTAGCATTGGAGATATAAATGAACCAAATGTTAGATAGTACTAGTAGCTTGACATGATAAGAGTTTATTTATGATTATTTGAATCAATTATTCAAATAAGTTTGAACTTTTTTATTGTTGAATCGTTTTAGGATATGAGCTCTCGTATAATTCGTTAACTCGTACAATTGAGAAGAGATCTTGAATGAGTGAGAAGAAGCTGAAGGACTTAAAGAGCTTTCAGAGGGTGTAGGATTAAGAGAGAGTAAGAAAGAGAGATCTCTCTCTTCCCTAGTTCAATCTTATTTATATACTCAAGGGTCTGTGTACCCATGTAATGGTCTAGAAAATAAACATAAAATTATGTTATATGTTATTAAGTACAGAGTCAAAGAAAACTCGCTGTTAACAAGATTTCTTTTGTAAAATATCATGTTTGTTAATAAATGACGGTATGTAAGCTGACATGCGTGAATTCTCTTCCTTCTGTCTCAAAGAGTTGCTCGTCGAGCTTTGTTGTGTAGCCAGGTGGTTATCAACGAGTTTGATGAGAAGGTTCAACTAGCATGTACGAGTATGGAATAGAAACTCGGGTAAAGAAGACGAGTATGGCTGGAAGAACTTGCTTGAAGATTGGAGTGGTGTAGACCATTCAGAGAAACTCGCTACAATGGTGATGTACTTTAGAGGTGCTCACAGAATCCTTGTGGTCAATAAGGAGCTCTATGACTTGTCACTTCTAAAGGTACGACTAAGGAGTATGACTGATATGTCAACGCCAGACCACTAAATGCACAGTTGGTAGGTGCCCATTTAATATTTGATTCGTGTTGCTTAAAAACTCGTTTTTGATTATATATATATAATCTTGAATAGCTTAAGACCTAATTTATTGATGAGCATTAACAATACCATTTAAAGCTCATAAAAAAATTTATTAAGAAATTAAATTAAAGCTCGATGTAAAACTAAATTTCTAATTACATCAAAAGTCAATGAAAAATTATAAGAAAAATACATTTTAATTTAAATAAAATTTAATTAAATCCTAATCTGTAAAAGAAATTGACTTTCTAGATCTCACAATGGCAGAACCAGAAATAAGCCCAAAAAATTCATTGAAGAGAGAAACGCCATATTTTACATGTTGAAACAATATTTAACTCATTTAGTTCCATATTATTTAAGGGTTTAATATAGTTCTATTTTGATAAAAACCGATGCACAAATCTATCATAATATATTTATTTAAAAAAATATTATTAAAAAAACACTATATTTAAGAAAAAAAAAAAAAAAGTACAGTTTTATGAGTTTGTAGCCCGTGCTGTTCTCATTTAAAATCTTGTTAGCAGCTTTTCGAAAAGCTAAAGCTGAATATGCATTTTTCCACCACTCTTATTTAAATGCGTAGTAGTTTTTTAGCTGAAGTCTGACTTTAAGAAAAAAGAAAATTTTGTAATAGCTACCGCAATTTTTAGAGCATTAGATTATTATTCAGTAGCTTTATAGGTATTTTTTAATAAGCTGCAGCTGCCCCAAACATACCTTTAATAATTATTTGAAATTAATTTTATTTTTTCCTTTTTATAAACTTTTAAAACATTTCAAACATATTTTTTATTTTTTTTATTTTTAAAATAAATAAATATATTTTTTTTAAAACACTCAAAATAATTTTTGGGTGTTTTTAAAAACAATCATATTTTAATCAAACATAGCTTTATATTTACGTACATACTCTCAATTTCTATATATTTACATATTGACATCCAAACTATAATTTTTATTTGCATGCCATCTCACTTATTAAAATGATAATATCTTTTTGTGACATAAAAGAATTGCATGATATAAACAAAAACGATAAAGACTCTGTTAGATATGTAAATAAATAGAGATGGGGTGGCCTACATGTAAATGCCGCCATTTTTTCCTAATTTTTATAAACCCTTCTTAAAATGAAGATTCACGTGCGCCTGCGCCAAACACACGTGTACTGAAATAGTGCAAATTTCACTATTGAATAATATTGAATCAAATATGTAATTAACATTTTCATTCATTTTCCTATATAGCACTTAAAATATTACTATTTACAAAACTGCCAAATGAACAATCTTTTATTGCCAAACTAATGTGTTTAGGTTTGTAAGGATCCAAGTATTGAAAAATTTATAGAAATGAAAAGCATGGATTTGGGTTTTAATATGATTTTTGATATTTGAGTCGGAATTTTAAAAAACGAATAAAAAGGTGTTAATTTATAAATAACATTATTTTGAATTCGTAGTTGACTTCTTAAAATTTAAGGTCGTTTTAAAGCCCTCTTAAAGATAACCTTTTAATTTTGCTAAAATCATTCTCAAAATCTAGAAATTTATAACAATTACTAAAAGTCTATTTGGGGGTAGTTGCAGCAGTTGTAAAGCTGCTGCAGAAAAAACTAATTTAAAAAAAAATTCGTCGCAGTTATTAAAAATTTATTTTATTTTAAAAAAAATGGGTCGTAATTTTCTGATAGTCACTATGTTTTAAGAGCTCAGGTTGAAAAAAAAAAAAAGATATTCTTACCGCAAAAATTCTAAAAGCAGCAAGCAAGGAATTCTCCAAACATAATTGTGATGACGATCTTAAAAACAAAACAGATAGAAAGTTGTACCGAACAGATCTTAAAATTATATTCAAAAAATGATCCACAATCCTTTGTTTAACTATTAAATTAGAATAAAATAATTACTATTAAACAAAGTAAAGTGTCAAAATAGTCCAATTATTTATTCTAAACATTTTTAATCTCAGAATTTATAGCTGTGTCAAAATAATTTAATATTTTAAAACCAACTTATTATTTGTGCCCCAATTTAATCTGTGACTATTTGGACCTCATCTAAGAAATTAGGTGACTAATTCGACACTTCACTACAATTAATTAATAATTAAAATTTAAACTATTTAAGTTCATTTAATTTCCTCACCTTTTGCTCCCATTAAAACCTTTGAAGACTAGAAGAAATACCTCATCACCATATCACCATCTAATCCTTCCCATCAAAACATAACCTCAAAAATTATTATAAAATAAATATTTATTTTATAAGAACAACCAGTCAAACACTCAACTGTTCCCTGTCCCTCCTTCTCTGTTCCTTCCATACAACCCTCTCTCTCTCTTGCAGCCTCTATTGCCCATCCTGGACCGGCCCATCCCACCCATCATGCTTCAAAGCCTCCTCCCTCAACCCCCCATCAATGGCATCTCCTCCTCCGATGCCGCTCCGGCGACCCCCATGAAACCCTCCAAACGCCCATCCCCTTCCTCCACCTCCGACGAAATCTCCGCCGGAAAACGGCCCCGCCACTCTCCC